TATTCTCCAAAAGACCTCTTACCTTAATTATAATTTATTAATATTAATCAATTATCATGTAGTTATTCGAGAGCAGAGGCAAAGGCATCGCTTTGCCAAGACCAATGCACGGCTAGATAGATATTTTAGAAATTTATAAAAAGTTGTGTATTTGAACTAATATTATTATCATTTTCAAAATATCTGAAAGTACTTTCATGTGATTGATTAAAATAATTAATTTAATGCCCGAATCGTTCCTATTTAAAGATTAACTTTATTTTTTTTAATTTTACGTAATAAAATTTGAAGTTAAATATAAAAGTTAATGTGTTTCATTGTTACTTTGCTAGCTATATAACATTTTGTAGAGGAAATTAGGGTGTCTGTTATCTGACTGTTTATCGTTAAGAATTCATATTTTTCATGTAATAAAAACAAGAGAATTCAGCAGTCATCATCCAATCATCCAATGATTAAAATGTTCTTTAGCCTTGTCCTGAAGTAATAAAATATTATTTGTCCTAAAATTCATCGGTAGAGTTTAATATTAAATATACAAGAAAAATATCGCTAGTTGTAATCAAATCATTACCTAGTGGAACAATCAACTAATACTATATATTGTAACAAACATTTTTACTGCTTGTAATAATGAAATGGGATGTTATTCTAAAGAGTAATCGTAAACTAGAATGAAAGCTATCAGCTTTAAACCTTGCATTTATAACTGTTAGTTGGTTACGTTTTAGATATTCATTTCGTGTTCAAGGATCTAGGTTGGAATTATTCTCTCCACTATAGTGCTTATTACTAATCCGTTAAAATAGTAATGCAACTTTAATTATCCTGATCATAGATTTTCAGCGCTCTTGATTGCAGGAGCCACGAAATAATCAATTAAAATAAATCGAACGGCATAATATTAAATTCTATATATCAACAGCGTTGTTCATAAAGTACTGAATCGACGCTCAATGACCTAAAGCAGAGTTATAATCCTTGAAGATGAAACCAGCGATTTATCTATATTTTCACATTCGAATCGATTTCAAAATTATTATCAGTAGCCAGTCAAAACTGCGACTATAGCAATTTACTATTATGCCTATTGGATTTTCATCTTTCCATAAATATTCATAAACAGGATAGCATTCTATTCACAATATCATTATATATGTTGGGTATATATTATAAAGGATCGATGCAGATGTGATATTTACAAAGCTAAGTGGAAGTTAGCTGTACTTCAATGATATTTACTGATGAGTGAAATTTCATGAAGTAAAAACTATCCTACCTCACTAATTAGAGATCTATTCGTCCTAATATGAGTTATTATAATGAATAATAAGGTATACACATTCTAATAATTCATGAGATCATAAAGAAATTCAATATTAGTTTATGCGGAAGTGATGGCCGAATTAAAAATATATGTCAGCTTGGTAACAAATCATAATTATATATTGCGTATTTAATCTATTTACTCATATTATCATCAGTTATTATAATCAACCGTAAAGTAAATACGTTCTGACAATTCATGAAATCACAAAGACACTGTACTTAATAATGCCTACTTGTGCGGTCGTAATGATGGATTTAAATATACATCGACATAGCAACGAATGATTCATTACTTATTGCTATCATTTAATTGATCAGAATTACTGTTTCAAATCATTCTCATTAATCCTTCTTTAAACAAAACAATGATATTGAATTGAGTATTTTTAGATATTTCTAGTTTATGTCTAGTAGATATGAAAAGAATATCAAACCCTTGATGGACTATCAATCTTAAAGTCAGGTATTAAGTATTAGAATATAAAATGAATGGTCTATTAAGGTAGCTTTTAATCGTATTTCAGATGCTAACTTATTAGCTAGCTAGGCATCATTGGAATTTCTAATTAATTATTATACAAAGTATCTTAATAAATCATTCTCATTTAAAGCAACTTTGACACCAAATGAAAATTGGAGAAATAATCGATTAACAATTTATTAAGAAAACGTGAGAGAGACAGATCAAACAACCTTCCAAATACTTAATTCTAAGTATTATAAGTGAACAAATAAACGAAAGAACTGAAAGTGTCAACAACCAAACAACCTAACATAAGAAGAACGTTTTCACTTACGACAGTTCGACCCGCAGGCCTTTAAAACTCAACAAGTTCTTCAAAAGAATCTTCTTTTACTC